AATTAAACAAGTGAATTTTTGTTGCAATAATTTTTCGTTGACTTGAAAAATTTTTTTTTAACAAATAGATAAAAAATAAATAGATGTCATTTTACTTTATACGAAACAAAACTTTGTTAATTTAATTCATATAATAAATATTTATTGTTTGAAATGACTCATTTGATTAAATTGGTAAAGAAATATTATATACAATTGCATAAATACTGGTTCTATTAAATTATTGTATTAAATTATTATTATTATTAATTATTAATTATTATTAGTCGTATTATCCTATTATATATTATTATTCCTTTACCTTAAAAAAGCAAAATAAAATCTAAAAGATCAAAAACAACAAATGTAAATATATAATTAAGTTTATAAATATTATATATTCTTTTTCTTTCATTTTAAAATAATATACAAATAAACATTTATGTATATATAAAGAAATAAAAAATAAATTTAGAAATTTCCATAATAAAGATAAAAGGACAAATCTATCTCTTTTTTACTGCTTTGAAACGAATACAATCATCTTGAGCACCACGTTGAGCAACTGGCATGATTACAGGTTGATGGGTGAAACTAGATGCCATAGTGCACATTCTATATTCACCGGGAATAGGTAAATTTACAATTTGTGTTAAAGCTCCATCCTTAGCAGCCAAGTTCAAACCCTTGAAGAAAGCGAAAATTGTTGGATCTAAAACGTTATCACCATTAAGTTTTTGGATGGTGATGTGACTGTGTCCTAGGATTATACCCTTATTATTAAGTTCTTGTGGACGATCATAATAATCATTTACGGGATCACTGAATTGACCGGTTGCCAAGTTTTTAACTTTGACTACAGCTGTAAAGTTCTTTCCTGCTATGACTGTTCCTGCGTTTTTAGGGAAGGTGATAATGGTTGAGGTCATCTTCAAAACATTTGGGATTTGACCTTGGAGCTGAGATGAACAAAAACCTGTTCTTATTTGTGTACCATTAGCTGCTCTTAAACCTAATTTTTTTAATTGACCAGTTTGTTTACAAAGTCCAGAAGCTCCTGGTGTTCTAAATGCATTTGGTTTAGGATCAGCAAGGACTGATGATGACAAGCTTACAAGAGCGGTGGCGACGATGATTAAAGTTTTAAAAAGTTGCATATTGACAGATTAATATTTATATATGGAATATATATGTTGTGAAAAATTATATTTGGAGAAAAATAAAGTATAATAAACGAAAGTGCAAATAAAAAGTGGTATGGTAATTTATATGTGGGTGGGTGCGAGTGAGAGCGACGAGAGGAGATGTGTATAAGGAAGTAATTATTTTTTATTTTTTAATGAAAGAATGACAAAAGATTTTCACTATTGGGGAAATTGTTATCATTTATATAGGTGATGAATTAATATAGAGATTAATAATATACAGTTATTGTTATTGTTAAATACAAATACTAATTTATTGGTGGCAAACAAATAAAACGAAATAGAAATTTTAATGTGCCACCAACGTCGTTGTACACTATCAATTTAAATCAAGTACTTTTATTTGCTCGTTAAAGGAATAAGCAATCACTATGATTACTATGATGATGATGAAAATTAAATTAATAACAAAAATCAATAATTTGAAACTTTGAATCTTCTGTTCATTTATTTAATTTGAATTTTTTTTTTTTTTTGCTTGTGATTTTAGCATGTTTAATATTAGTAATGTTAATAACTCTGATTCTTTGAGGATTCCAAGCCCGGACATAAAAACGAATTTATTATTTCTGGCAGATAGATGGACATAATTGAAGTTCAACCTTCGAATTGAGAATTGGTGACAAATGAATTTCGAACCCAAGCATTTTTTTCATTAGAAAGGAAATTAATTATTAAATTTAAATTAATTTTCTTAATTGGTAAAATTAGTGTTACTACTGTATATTTAGACATAGGGTTTATAATTAGATAAAGGAAATTGTTATTTTTAATAGTAGAATAAAAATAAATTGTGATACCAAAAGAATTAACATCATCATCATCATCATCATTACATAATTAAAAGAAATAATGGCCATTTATTTATTATTATTATTTCTTTCTTCTTGATTAAACCAATCTTTTTTTGATAAATTATATCAATTATCGGCTGATTTCTTTATCTCAAGATCTTCGCAATTTAAAAATTAATGAATTGTTGATTCCAATTAATTAAATTTAACTAAAACTTTATTTTTCAATGCAATTTTTTTATGGAAGGAAAAACTCTTGGAATTTCATTTAACTTTAGAGAATTATTCGTGTCGATGTAAATTATGCGCACAGTATAATGAATGCTACATTAGATTAATGTACGATTGATGCAATAGTTAATTAAATTCATTAAGATTGAAATTAAAATAACCATCATGGCTATAATCGGAAAATCAAATAATTTAAATTTATTATTTTTTCCGCCAAGAATTGGATGTTTCATCTTATTGCCATTACTGCCCCGTTCTTTGATAAATTTGGTAAAAATTTATTTTGTTGTCAATTGAGGCAAATAAAATAAAACAAATATATAATCTTTGTTCCTTTGTTGATAAATTAATATTCCATTTTAGAAAATTCTAATTAAAAATTCCTTTGATAAAACTTTGTTTATTACACAGCATACACATTTTAAAAATGATTAGTACTAGCTCAATTTTTAATTTTTGCACAAAATTAATGGCTCGATTATAACTGTAATAATAACAATTATTATTATTATTATTTATTATTATTATTATTATTATTATTATTATTATTATTATTATTATTATTATTATTATTATTATCATTATTTTACTATTATTATAACAAACATTTTCTTTGTATATTTTCGTTTGATCAATTTATGTCTTTTTTTTTTTGAACTTTGGTTTAATTATGTTCGCCATTGTTAGACCATTACCGTTATCGTTGTTATAATTGATATTGTTGTTATCATTATTGTTGATGCTGTCACCATTGATTGCCGTTATTTCTTGATTTTTTGAAAATTTTTTACTATAATTTGGAAAAATATTCTGGAGCAAGTTCCACCAACATTATTATTATAATTATCGTAGTAAATGGTATTCGGGCTAGTATAATGTATTATTTTTTTATTATTAGGCTTGATATCTTTGTGGATTGTGTCGTGACTCATTATAAATTTTAAAATATTAATAAGTCGGTAACCCAAAATTATAGCTCTTTGAATTGCCGAAAACATCATTATTTTTTTTTTTGCGGTTATATTATCATATGATATGTATTTCCATTTAAGTAACAAAAAATTAAATATGATAGAGATGTTTCCATAAATAGAGATAAATTGAATATTTGCTGTGTCACTCTTTTTTTCCGATTTTTTTTTTTTTTAATTATATGAGAAATATTTGACCACCTAAAAAGGTATTTCTGTTATAACACTGTTTGTCCTGCTAGCTATTATAGTGTCTTTCGGTTTTGTTGGGAAAGTCCTTATAAGGTTGAGAAAGTAAAAAAGTAAATGGATCTAAAAGTAGAATTTTTACCAAAAAAATTTAATTAAAATGTATGACAAATTTAAACGTCATTTAGAATGATTGCAAACAGAAATTTCCTTCATCTGCAGGGAAACATCAAATATAAATGAACTGGTTCTTTAACTTAAAATCATGTTTGAAACTCTAGTCATCGCAGGCGGTACACTCTTTGAGTTGGTATAATTGTTAATCAATTTTTCTTTCCTTCCTGGTGGGTTGAAAAAAAGATATAAATTTAAATAGTACATCTTTTCTAAATTCTCGAAACGTATACTAATGTAAGGAAATTACACTTTTCCTTATCTGGTAAAAACAGGAAGATGTAATTAAATTCAATTTTTTATATAGGGAGATCAGCATTATTACCATGATCACATTTTTATTACGAATTAGTGGATTACGTCATGTCATCATTAGTCATTTTATTTCCAAATATATATACCAATACTGCCTTTTTTAACAATTAATTCCCGTAAATTAAAAAAATTTATTTATTATGCGAATGGTGAGAACATTTATACAGACACTTACTTCATATGGCAGAGTGGACGATAAAAATGAACTATTAATAATGCACATGTTACAGTCGTTGCAGAATACTTGGTTGGTTTGGTGTCTGGCAATACAACATGTGACTTTGACATCATAAACTCTTTTAAATTTGCAAAACAGTTTCGAAAGATAATCTACTTTAAGCCCTAAATCCAAGCCTCTATATACCCTTAAATCTAAACCACAGCTAGTTTCAGGTATTTTCGGTTTAAACCATGTGTTTCGAGTCACACCATTTGTTTGAGCCAGGATAAATCTACGTGGCAACAAGCAGCGCTTCTTCTCGATATTTTTTTGTTTGATCTTAATTGCTTGAATGTGGATAGAGAGAGATGTCATAACTGAATGTATGAGATTTTATTAAAAGAAATAAACTAATGTTCCTTCGTAAACGTGTTGATTATACATGATCAACATAATTTTTGAAACATTGCAAATAAAATATACTATTTTCATATCACTACTCCTCCTCTATTTTCAAAGATGAAAAGGATGTGGATGGTGTGTAGTATAGATCTATGGCGAAAGCATTGAAAAAATGAAATATATAAGATCAAGCTCTAAACCACACACCATCCATATCCTTTTCATTTTTGAAAATAGAGGAGGAGAAGTGACCTGAAAGCAATACGTTTTCTAAGTCACAAAAAAAAATTTTTTTGCCAAACTGTTGAATTGAGATTCTCTTAATGTAGTAATATGAAATTCTGAATAATTTTTTTTTTATAAATAAACTTCTATGCAATTCAACTTGATTTTAATATTAAATTAAAATTCATTCTCGTAACATTCAATTGAATTCAAAAAATCATGTATATTTTATTTTTTATTTTATTTTTTTATTTTTTTAAATATTAACAAAAAAAATAAAAATTTAAATAAATATAATTTTTCCAATTCCGAACAATCAAATTTTAGCTAATCTTACAAAACAAATACTAAAGAAATGATAACAACCGAAAGAGCAGTCATAAGTCCAGTAGTATACACAGTTTTTCTTGATCCACCGTTGAAATTGTCTTCTGAATATTGTTCTTGGTTTTCCCCGTCTCCTGGTTTTTTAACTACAACAACATTGACATCAGTAACTTGAGATGGATTCGTTTCAACTACTGTTTCAGTTGATACGTCGACACTTGAAGTAGCATTATCGTCGTTATTATCATCGGCGGTGGGTTGGTCTTGTGGTTGTGGTTGTGGCTGATCTGGTTGTGGTTGTGGCTGATCTGGTTGTGGTTGTGGTTGTGGTTGATCTGGTTGTGGTGAAGGTGGAGGTGGGGGTGGAGCAACGGGTGTAGATGATGTGGAGGCTGGTGGAGGTGGAGGTGGAGGTGGAACAACGGGTGTAGATGATGTGGAGGCTGGTGAAGGTGGAGGTGGAGGTGGAGCAACGGGTGCTAGTGGTGTAACAGATGTAGATGATGTGGAGGATGATGTGGAGACAGGTACTAGTGGTGTTGGTGTAACAGATGTAGATGATGTGGAGGCAGATGATGTGGAGGCAGGTACTAGTGGTGTTGGTGTAACAGATGTAGATGATGTGGAGGCAGATGATGTGGAGACAGGTACTAGTGGTGTTGGTGTAACAGATGTAGATGATGTGGAGGCAGATGCTGCTAGAGTGCTAGTAGACTTGGATTTAGGAAGCTTTCCGGTACTGCTGCTAATAATAGTAGTACTAGTGTTAACTACTGCAATTTGTGTGGATGTTCCTGTGGTGCTTGCAGTAGGAGCTAGAGCAGGTGTTAAAGCAGAAGTGGAAGTGCTAATTGGAACAGGTGCATTTTTATTAGGTTGTTTTTTTCCTTTAGCTGTAGTAGCGGCAGTGGTGGTGGTGGCGGCGGCGGTGGCGGTGGTGACTGGAGTCGCAGCGGCGGGGTTTTGAACTTTTGGAGTAACTTTTGGAGCTTTTTTATTGTCAACAGTTGTGGCTGTCTCTGTGGCATTTAGTGAAGTTGATAAGCTATCTGTTGTTGTATTTGGTGCCGCTTGTTTAATCGCTGCTGCATCAACTGAAACTGTCGAGCCCAATAATAAAATTAATAATTGACAAAAAATTGTCACAATTACTAATTTTCTGGTTGCCATTTGTTAAATCAAAAAAATTAATATAATAATAACAATAATATATTTTCTTTTTCTAATAAATCTATCTATAATGTATTAGTGCTATAGTGTAAATGATGAAAAGTAATAGCGGAATGAATGACGAGGGTTGGTGGTTAATTAATTAGTTAATTAATATTAAAAAAAAAAAAAAAAAAATTAGGGATTCGAAAATGAATGTGAGAGAGGATTATTAAAAAATGAATTATGAGAGAGAAAAAGAGAAATTAATGAGGTTTAACTTATTAATGATTATGTTTATATTTTATTTATAGGTTTTGAAATATTAAATGCATAATAATAAGTTTTTGTTTACAGTGCATTTTTATGAACTAATTACAGTAAAAATGAATTTCACTTGGCATATTTATTTATAAATAAAAATAAAAATTATTTTATTTGTTTCTTCAAAAAGATAATTTACTCTTTAAATTTGGAATGTACCAACAAAATCAAATATGCATCGTTGAATGTGATCGGGGATGATTATAACAGTTGGTAAATATTTAAATATTGAAACTTTTTTGTATAAATATAATTCTCCAAATAAATCATTATTTTGTTATAAACTTATTGAAAAAATATGATATCGCCAACGGTGGGTGTTACAATTGAGTATTGTTTTAGTGATATACTACTATCTTCATGAGGATGATCGAAAAATTAACAGGAGAGGAATACATGAAAAATCTGTTGTCAGACAATGATAGAAAGAGAACCCTTAGAAATCTTTTTTTGGCGCTAAACTTATTTATCAAAAATGAGTTTCAATCAATGGAACAGAAAATGGTCAGAATCTAACCACTCTCGGCCCGACGCTATATACAATTAAGAATATCAAAATTAATGTTTCCTTGACTGAAAAAAATCGAATTCACCAATTTTCTATCCTTGGTGGATTTTCCTGGATTTACACATATTTACCCAGAGAAAAAATAATCGAGATAAACTGATAATTCTAGTTCTAACGTTAAATGCGAATAAAAGTCTTCTTTTCTAAGAACAAGCTGATGCTTGTGTAGGATTTGCTGTTTGATTTATTACTTTCTTGCATAATATTTTAATAAGAAAAGTTAGGAAAATAAGGCAAAAAAATAAGATATATGAGATAAGTCCTGTATAAACAAATTATGCCATTTTTTACATCCTCTATTAACAAATATCAGATGTTTTGACTTCTAGTTTGACGATGATAATAAATATTTCCCTATAAAGAATAACAAAAATTTTTATAGCAATTATTCTAATTAATGAAATTAAAGCAAATTATTATCGTATCAAGCAGATTATATTAATTCGATGAATAGCCACTCACTCACTATCAATGAAAAATGACTTTTGAAATTAGAAGAAGCTTGTGAGCGCAAAAGACGTGCAATATTATCGTTTCTTTTGTTTGGCTAAGCACAACATCCACAACTTAAAACATCCAGATTTGACTTTGCATGCAAATAAACAAAACACCAAAATTAACTACAAGGACCATTTCATAATCCGAACCTGTATTTGATTAACGCAGCAGTTGTAGCTGGACGATTCATTTTCGCATTAAAAAATCAAACTATCAGTAAATTTAACAAAAATAATTATCCGTACAAGTAGGATTATTAGCTGAACTTCATAGGCTTTTTGCTTCATTATAAATCTTACAAGAACCAGCTCTATAATATAAACCACCTGAAATCAAGCATGAGTCAAGTAAAAACTCATTAAAATCTCTGAAGATTTTTGAAAGATTTTAAAATGTTTTATTTGATGAAAAAAAAAGACTAAGCAGGACTCGGGTTTTTCATTTAATAAAATGGTAAATTCATGGGTTGCTTGGAGAATCGATTACTGTTTTTACTATAAAAAACTTTCATTGACAAAGGGACCAATCCTAAAAAAAACCAATCTGGAATTGTTAATAATGAATAAGGCAGTGTCTTAACATTGGAATGTTCCAATGTAGATCTTGATAAATGAAATTTATTTGTACGACATTTTAATCAAATGTATTGAAACAACTTGAAACGTTACACGAATTTGCCAATAAACAAATATTCTTATTATAAAAGAATTCAATCAACATTTTGGAACGGATAAAAAGGAATTATTGTGAAATTTCAATGGTGCTTAACAAGTACAGTAACATACACACTGGACATGAGTCTAACCGATTGGCTATCGTAAAGCAATTGAAATAATTTGATACGTATCAGGATTGTGTAGTGTCTGTCCTATTGGAACCATAAACAACTGTCTCCAAGTCATCCCAAAATTAATATAAATAAATACTTTGATTCGGGTAATTTAGTTTTGACATGTTTATAACATGATTACATAACTTGCAGTGAACTAATCCTAAATCCTTCCACGAAAAACAAACAAGGATTGTAACAACGAAATAAGAAATTTTTTTTAGAAAAACGTAAGGGTAAGAAATTTACAAAATAATTACCAAAACAAAAAAGAAAACTCTCAACTCGATTCTAGTCTCTTCGCATATTAAAAGGTTCATAAAAATAGACTTTTTGTAAATTACTGGAAGATTCTCAAGTGTAACTTAACAACTCCCACGTATATCGAAGGACGAACATATTTTATCGAACAATTTTTTTGCAGATCTTTTTTTTTATAGTAAAATACACAACTTTGTATGGAAATAATTCTTAATATACTTTCAGATTCCTTTCATGGTGTTCTTTAATGTACAGAAAGCTTTTTGCATTTTTATTTGCATTTATAATACAGTGTTTACTTTCCCAAACATTGACACATGAACTTCACGTTCAATATCCATTATTTTATCACAAGTTGCAGATTTGTATTCACGTGATGAACAGTACATTCCAATTTTAGACGGTAATTCTTGAACTGAAATCATCATTCAATTGTATATGTGTTCCAGCCAAGGTTGGGTGACGAAAATATTTTGTCCAACTGGACACGTGATGAAATGTGACAAAAGGCAAAAGTCAAAAAGTCTTTGGTCAGTTAGAACAGTGCTTTCATAAAAGTTTGTCAAATGAGCTTGGGCTTTTTTTTTCTTGTTTATTTTATTGTTTAGTTGATTATTAATTTCATCCAAGTAAAAATGAGAATTGAATAATGACATTTAGGATATTCACTAGCTAAATGAGCCTTGAGTTTAAAAAGTGTTCCATGATTCCAGGTTTTTGGATTTACAAGATGCTGAGTAATGTCCTTTTACTCTCTCCATACATCAGATCAGGACGTCCTGGAGCTAATTCTTGATTATTGTTAAATGAATTTTCAGATATATTATCTAAATTTAATATTTGTAAATTCATATTATATGATGATGATTGAGAAGGAATTGGTGAATTAGAATTTGACATTATGAATTTTTTTTTTTTTTAATTTACTCTTTGAACCAAGAATGTAAATGATTTAATATTCACAAAATAATCGGGATTTCATCAAATTCCTCAAAGTGTAGAAATCCTATTTTGTCACATTTATTTTTGTCATGTGATGAAAAGGTGTCATTTTGTCACCCAACCTATGAACTTCTGAAATTGTTTTTCACTTACCAATGATTCCAAAACTGAGGTCTCACCAGCAACCTTTGCTCAGATACTGAGCTGTGTTCTCTACAATCAAAAGAATTGCCAGTCTTTAAGTAATTGATCTTCATCTTTTGTGGCTTGCTGTACCATTATTCAGACCCAGATGTATGATGCTTCAAAATATTACTCAGCACTATCGGCTGAATGAAGGAATTTTCTGTATTGGGACATATTTGTTGTGATCCAAGAGTGCTTTCTAGTCAATATTAATCATGCAAAATAGTCTGAACTTCTAAACAGTGATATTTAGAGCATCTTCACAGTGACAGATAAGATTAGTACATAAATTATGCATCAAATTATCAATTTTCTTTGTCAAATGATCACAAAGTCTTTAAAATCACATGTTTTTCTTTATCAAGAGTATTTATTATATTAATAAAATAATGAAATATTTAATGGCAGATCATTCAACAAAGTGGACAGAAACGACTTAAACTCCAAAAAGGTGTTAAATCATGATTTTATATGTACTTCGTCATAAGGATTAATTTCTTCAAGTGGATATGGTTTCTAATCTAAGATTAATGATTTCCAAGTTTTTGGATCGTGACCAACCAGTTTTATTATTAGTCAAAATTATATATGAAAATAGCAATTTGATTACCTTTTTTGATTTATACAAAAGAATTTGTGCAATAGATGAGTTGTTTAATTGCTGATTATCTAACTGTTGAAAATAATGAACATCTGTTTCAGCAATTGTGCAAATAGAAAAAAATCAATGTTATCGCATCTATTTTTTTTTTTGCCTTACTTTGGGGATGTACAAATTATTGTTGCTGAAACAAATTCTCTGGTTCATAGAGGACCATCAATTAAAATGCAAAATTCTAATAATATTGATATACTTTTGTGGAATAGTTTTTCTTCCCTAGACAATAATTAGCATCTTAATAGTTGCAGTGTAATTTATCAATATGATTTAATAGTTTATTATATGTTTATCATCAAAAAACGAGATGTTGAACTATATATGGTAAAAAAGGCCGAGATAATTACATCATAGCAATATGCCCAGAAATCATTGACATAATAAATCTTGGAAAGATCTGTAATTTAAACTCTCCTTTTTGCTGATACACGTATTAAATTTACTAAATATGGTAATGATTTCCTTTTATAATAAATAAAACCAATTGATATGGGCCCCATTGGCATTTTTATCAATCCTAATGATGTAATCTGTTAGAAATCATGCTTGAAATTTCTCTTTGTTTTCCTGCTTGTCACACCACCTTATATGGGTGGAACAGGACTGCGAAAACTATGAGATAGATCACTACCGCAGGGTCAATTCTCATATATACTAAAAGACCTAAAAAGATTTTTCCTCGATAAGCAAATCGCGGTGTGGGGTTAAGCTTTATTATTATATATATGATTTTTTCATTATTATATAAATATACTAATATCATTTTAATGGTTTTATTTCATGCAATAATATTTATAATATAGTAGTAGATGTTGATATTGTAAATCAGTTGTCAATCACCATTCCTAGACATGTAAGATAATGCAAGAATAAAAAAATAGTTTTTAAATGTTCACTTGTATGTATAATACACAAGATTTCTTTTCTAATTAATTTTTTATTATTTATTTTTCATAAATATTCTTTCCCCCGCGAACATTAATAATTTAAATATTATTTAATAATAAATTATAATTATTGATTTTCTTAACTGTTTGTTCTATTAGCTGTTAGAATATTGGTGACAATCGGTCTTCTTTCTGGAATAGGATTCAACATATCATGAATCAATCCATTCAATGAATCAGATACACCACTCAAATCATATTCATTCAGAATCCCATTCCTTATTTTCTGATAATCCGATCCATAATGAGGAAGTGTAACTTTAGTACTCAATTCTAGGATTATCAAGCCAAAACTAAAAATATCAGCCGGCTTATCGTTTCTGGACTCGGATAAAATTTCACCAGCCAAATAGACACGGTCTCCTTCTTTATCAAATCCCATACGAACTGGCCAATGCGTTGCAAGTCCAAAATCTCCAATCTTGAGTCTATCATTTTTTGTAATGAAGACATTTCCAGGTTTGAGATCATTATGTATTATATTACTTTCATGAATATGTTTAAGGCCCTAAACAAATTAATAAAAAAATATTATTGTTTATAAATTATTTAACGTCATTAATATATTAATTTGTTTATTTTACCATTGCAATATCGTTAATCATTTTCCAGATTTCTGACTCAGGAAGTTTGTTCTCTTTGTAATTCTTTAGGTAATATTCCAAACTGATATAATAATAATAATAATAATAATAATAATAAGTAATTATAATTATATTCATAATAGTCAATTAATTATCAATTAACCAAAATAAAAACAATTAATTCATTAGTTTACACATACGTGCCATGTTCACAATATTCAGTCTGAAGGTATAAATAACCTTCTTGTTCCCAGGCAGAGATTAATTCTAGACAATTTGAATGTTTTCCCAATTTCCATAAAATTTCAACTTCTTCAAGTTTATCTTGTCTATCACAAAGATTTTTAAATGGTCTTTTAGCCTTTTTGATCACATATGTTTTACCAGTTTTATCTCTAACTTTGAATGCTTCTGAAAATTCACCAATTCCAATTTTTTTAAGTATCCAAAAATTATACTCAAAAAAATTCTCCTCTGTATATGATGTTAATGTTGGATGTTTAAACGCTAAAAGAAACGTGATTAGATAATGAGTTGTCACTAATTCTTCCAACAAGCAATTATAATTATAATTAAACAATAATAATAATTTTATTTACCATTACTAACACGACCAAATTTTTCAAAGTAATCTTTATCCAAAAAATGTGGATATTTAGTAGCATGATCGTTTAACATAAATGGATGTGTTAAATTATTAAAAAATATAAGAGATCTTTTTTTAGGTTTTGGTGAAGCAGGTGATAAATCTATCATTTCAAGCCTTGATGGACACCATAAACGAGATATAGGTGGTGTGGTGAAAATAAGCGATTGCTGTGGTGCACTTTTTGGTGTATCGTCATTGTCTGATTGAAGTTTAATAAATTTACGAGTGATAGGTGAAAGGTCTTCATTCAGGCTTCTACGCTTATGTAAATTTGATTTTATATTATTAACTTTGCTTATTGGTGTTGTTGTTACTTGAGATTGTCCTATTTCAAAGTTTGCACTCATATTTTAGGAGATGTATTAATATGTTGTATGTATATGTAAAGGATATGTGCGATCTAGGGAGATTTTATAAAAGGAAATTCTATTTTATCGATTAAAATTTTGTAAACTATTGTGTTTACACATAAAAAAAATGTATTTATGAATAAAAATACACGCGTTCGCTAATTTATAAAATTTGTCGATCACTAAAATTTTTACATAATTTCAATTTCAATTTGTGTATAAGCAATAGTATAAAGAGATCAGATGAGTGACTAATCGATTAATTGAAGATGAAAAAACGAAACATTCATTATGTAAATAAAGTGCTAAAAAATAATTAATTTCTCAAATAATGATTTCTTCATTTAATAATAAGTTTTTAGATTTTGGATTAGTATTATGATAAAGCTTTTAGTTTAGATAACTATGTCGTACAATGATTTAGTAACGGACTGATCAATAAGCTGAATCAACGTGACCTTTAAACACATCAAATTTATATAACTGTTGAAGATTCACTTCAGCCTGACAAATTTTTTGTGATGACATTATCTTCTTCAATATATCTTTGTCATTTCAATATGGCTCATATTTCTTTTTCAATTCTTTCAAAATTTTATCCAATTTAATATATTTGTTTTTAGTGATGTTAGTTCGATGTCCAATATTCGTAAATTTTTTTCTTTGAAACTTTCATCGTAACCTTTTAAATATTGCTCCTTATCAATTCATGCGTCGAGTTATAATATCACTTGTTAGTTAAGAAGAAGAGCCGAACCATTGTTTTTTTTTTTAAACGCCAATACTTGTGTTGCTAATAATGACACGGCTAATACTTTTTAAATAATTTTTAGAAGTATTAAACGTTCATTAATCCACAACTCTAGATCTTCTTTATTGCTTTTTAAGTAAGCAAAATTAGGAATTATTTTCTTCATCAACGCACTCTTTATATTTACAATACCTTCCAATAGACATCAAAGCTCTTTTATAATCGCAAAAATAAGATGAACAACAATGTCTTTATCTTGACTTTGGTTAAAAATTATTTTAATCAATAATTTAAAAACCTCTTATTTCAATACTGTTTCGATACTATTATTTATTATCCATTCCACTCAAATCACTAATCGTTTTTTTTCCGATCATCATTATTTGCTTTAAATTATTCATCAAAGTTCATTCTAAGCTTCTAAGGTTGTAAAACTAAGTGACGAGTGACTAAAAGTGAAAAACCTTAATTAAATAGAAAACACTTAAGAAAAGTTATAACTTGAAAAAATATAAGATGTTTGTTTACAATTGCTATAAGTTAAAATCCTCGTGTCACGTGGTCTACCCAACAATTAGTTTTTAATAATATTGGCAATATTTACATTTCTTCTATGTTAATTATTTTTTTCGGGTTTAACGATTTAAACAGCAGTACAAACAGTGTGTTTAATTGAGTTACAACAATTCAATATAATAATAATTTAATAATAATGAATTTATTGCAAAAGTTATTCTGCGATCAAAAAAAAAACCATCAGAGATTATTTTTTTTTTCATTAATGCAAATAATATAAAATAAAATAAGTATGTAAAAAAAGCATTTATTGACTTCAAATAAAAGAAGGGAAAATCTGATTTTCTAAAATATATACCAATCAATTCTTCATTAATCGTTCATTCATTGAATCTTTTGTTTGTTAAAATTGGCCAATCCAACAATCAATCCGTAAAATGACTTCCAGATTGACCGATTATAGCTTCTAATAACATGAAATCATTATGAATCATAATATCTAATAACATCACTAATTCGAAAAAATTATAAAAAAATTTAATAATCAAATTACCAATAATCTGAATAAAATCACCAGAGAACAGCAACATGGGATTTGGATCATTATCTTCATTGATATTCTTTACTTCAAGTTCATTACGTTCTATTACTTTTTGTAAATCTGAAAGATCATTCTCTTCTCCCTCTGGATACCAAATCTTTACATCATTATCAATACCAGATGTGCATAATATTGGGAGATGTGGGTGTGGTTGAAGACAATTAACTACTCTCTATAATACATAAAGTTATTTAAAAATATATTTATGTATGCATTTATGCAAATGTGTACAAATCAATTTATTTTTGTGAACCTACTGAGTCGCCTTTTAATAAATTAACTACTTCTCCTGTGATTTTATCCCATATAAATATTCTACCATCATCTGAACCAGACATGATATATTCAGAATTTGCACCAAAAAAATTAGCTTCCTTAATCTATGGTAAAGATAATAGTAATATAATAAAAAATTATTATTATCATTATAAAAAGTAAAAAAATCGATGATAAAAGATAACAAACCATAGTTCTTGAGTTTACATGGCCACTATAAATTTTAACTACATCTTCTTCATGAGCTTCTTCATATTCACTATCTTCATCTTCTTCATCTGTGCTATAAATATTATCATCATATTCGTCAACATCATCTTCAGAATCGTCAACATCATCTTCATCTTCTTCATCTTCATCATCATTTTCATCATCATCATCATCATCATCATCATCATCAACAATATCATCATTATCATCATCTCCCATAATATCATCATTATCATCATCTTCCATAATATCATCTTCATCATCATCAATAATCATAGGTCTGCATTTTGTTTTATTAACATAGTTATTATCATTACTAATAATATTACCCGCCTCACTTGGAACAGTAAATTTAACACTATTAACACCATCAACTTTATTATTATTATTCTCGTCATATTTCGTTGTTGCTTTACCCCCTCTATCAATATTATTTACATTACCATCACTGCTACCACTACCACAAGCAACACCTTCCATGCTAACCATTGGTGATAAGTGTGAGTGATTTTGGTTATTATCATCATTATTCATCAAATTATGATCAACAGTGCCCCTATCAATGTCCTCGTCATTAATTTGTTTTTGTTTTTCTTTTTTCTTAGAAAAAACATCATCATTATTATTATTGCCACCACTACTGCTACTATTATTATAGCTACGCTTGGGTGCTGTAGTACTAACAGAACTTTTATGAGATGATTTTTTTTTCTGATCAGCATTAGGCCTAATCAAATAAATTTTACTATTGCTATAACTAGCACATAAATCACCACCACCACATGGATCAAACTTTAAACTGGTCATTTTATTTTGAGTGGAGGCAGGACTATCACGCATTAACTTTGGAATGAATTGATATACTTGACTTTCACGATGATATGATGATTTCATTACATATCTACGATCATAAATACGTACAGTATCTTCACATGCAGCTGCCATATATACCGGATTATCAGGTCTTATGGATATAGTGGTTATACTCGTATCTTTTGTGCGACTTTTTATTATTCCTCTTCTTCTTCGTCTAGCTGGATAAGGATTTCCCAATTCAGGTCGTCGCCCTCGCTGTTGATGTCGTTGTTGTTGTCGTTCCTGCAATGATTCATTATCATCATCACCATCTATAACGGTAGTAGTTCTGGTCCTGGTCCTGGCTCTGGTGCTGGTGCTGGTTCTATATGGACTGTTATTATTGTTGCCATTGTTATTATTGTTTTTTTTGTCAATATTAATAGAATTTAGACAATGTTTGTCAGGATTACTTGTTGGATTCAGATCAAGAAATATGTGTTGTTTACAATGATTACATGGACACGATTTTTTGATTCGTAGATCATATTGATTGATTAGACCATCAGCGGAACATGAGAAAAATATATTTGAATCATTTGGATCTGGCAGTACTTCGAACCTATTTCACACAGGTATTTTGTTATTTATTTTAATATGAAACACTCAAGATCTTGTTGAGATTGAGTTTGATAAAAAATACTTACGCCATATAACTGTGACAATTAAATTCAGGTAAAGGAGACCAACTAGCATCATTTTCTACAATATGCTCAAGATCGGTGTATCTAATAACACCATCAGCAGAACATGAAATTATGTGTCTATCGTTTGATTTTGCCATGAAACGAGCAGAAAAAATATTTGCATTGTGACCAGATGGAATTGAATGAACAAGAGGTTTCTCTGGGTCTTCAAATGGTGCCCATATATTTATACGACAATCATCTATAGTATAATATGTATATATATTGTAATTAATTAAAAAAAACCATGATCAACGAATTAACTAACCTGAACCAGATATGATCAAGTTGCCAGCCTCGTTCCAAAAAACTGAATTTACGCAACCTCTATGATGTTTTAAACTTTGAAAATTATTAAATCGTTTTACCACATAACGATCAGAGTATAAAGCTTTGGAGTATAATGAAGGATGAAACGTGTATAACTCTCTAGCACTTAATATGTCGGTAATTCTTGAATTTGAATTTTGTCTTGGCATTAGAATTGAAAATTTGAGTTGTTTCTACAAGATAATTGCGCCATCCTCCAAAAAGATCACTGGTATCACCAAGCAATACACGTTTACTATATATAGTAATAAAATTTTACATTTAAAGTTTTCAATCCACCGCGATTAATCTCTTATATTCGATCAAAGCACTTTTTGAACATTTTGTTTGAAAAAAAATTAAACTTAGGATATTCAAGCTTGCTCTATTCAATGATACATATGCTTGGCCTTCGGCAAATATGTTCTCATAAATAGAGATGGTTATGTAGGGTCAAATCCTGTGTTTATGAACAGTCAATGAGAAAGCATTTTGGAGCGAGAATTGTATAGACTTTATTAATTAATTGAAGATTATTGTAACACGTGTATAGCAATAAAACAAATAGAATAACATTTTGTCTCGATGTTAGTCTGGCTCCTTTTTCCTTAATATTTATTATCCAATGTTAGATAACACGATCAAAAATCCATCACATAATCTTTATTAATTAATTAGGTTAGGAATGTATTCTCACCACTTGTTATTATAACAATATAATAAATAGGATAACATTTGTCTTGGATCATCTCGATGCTAATCGGGTAACACGTCACATATAATAAGTATTCTCATCACTTGTTATCTATACAAATATATTATTATTGTAAATGTGCAATTGATCTAAAAGGAATTGATTAAGATAATTTGTGTGTGTATGTGTACCAAAATGCAAAAATAAAAATATATCCCGCTCATCTCTTGTTAAATTCCTACTTCATCACCATGTTGTCAAAAGATTTTCCTCTCTTAACACTCTTTCTTTCATGCAAAGGATCTTTTATTTTATTGAAAACCCCACTTGATTCAACAAATGGTCCTCAAGTTTTTTTCAGTGCTGCTCGATCCTTGTTGACATTTTTTCTCTTTTTTTTATTGTTTGATGATGATGCTGATGACGACGACAATGATGACGACGACAATGATGACGACGACGACGATGACGATTCTATAACTGGATATGTAAATTCCAACCCCAGGACCTTCAAATGCAAAAAATTATTCCCAATTTTCCAACTGTTGAAATTTTAGTCCTTTTTAGATTTAATAAAAAATTCAAGCAGTTTTGGTTGTCAATAATGGTATCACTGATACATACATATTTACAACCATCTTCTAATGTATGATATTATCGATTTGAACCCTTTTTCCTTGGTCACCCACAAAATTTCTTGAAAATTAATTCTCGTATTCATCAATTTCGGTTCTGAAAATTGCAGTTCCTCTAAAAGGTTATTTGCTTCAATTAATGTTTTGATGTAAACGAAACCAGTAAAATAGTACACATTATTGTTATTAGTGTCAACATTAGATATTATCAGATAATTTAAAAAATTTTAATTATTATTAAATTTTTGATTGAATTTTTCAATTTTAACCTCTATTTATTATTGCTACAATAAATATACACCACCCCAAAAACTAATATATTAATATTAATGATAGTTGAATTTTCCTCTAACCCTCCATTAATTAATTAAAATATACAGCGGTTACACTATCAAATGTTTAATCTGGTACTACGATATAGATCTATAATTTAATTGCCTATACCATTTTTTTATATTAAATTACGATCGATCTGGTACTACGATACAGATCTATAATTTAATTGCCTATACCATTTTTTATATTAAATTACGATTGATCTCATTACAAGATTTCATGTGATCGAGATGTTATTCAATTGATAAATTATTTTTAGTCAAAAATACGTGATAACCTGGTCAAGGCTATTTCCTTTTCAAACACACGCAGAAAAGAAGGAACTTGTCGAGTTGCTAGTACAATGGAATTACGTGAGTGAACAAATATTATTTTATTTTCATAACAACAATAGAGAGATGATGATAAATGAATAATTGTGAGGTTAAAATCTTGTGAATTCGGTACTAAGTAAGACAATTTGAAATCCTATACATTAGTAAGTAGACTTTTTAAAAGTTGAAACCCGATGCGTTCGGTAGTAAATTTTCTTTATGAAAGTTGGAAACTTATGCGTTCGGAAGTAGGACAATGTGAACTCTTGTACATTTGTGTTAGTAACATTTGAAAGTTGAAAACCTATGCGTTTGCTAGTAAGCTTTTTTGAAAGTTGAAAACCTATGCATTTGGCGAGTAAGCTTCGAAGGTGAAAACCTGTGTATTTTGCATAGTAATATTGTTCGAAATCTTATGCGTTTGCTAGTAACCTTTTTTGAAAGTTGAAAACTTATGTGTTCGGAAGTAGGACAATGTGAACTCTTGTACATTTGTGTTAGTAACATTTGAAAGTCGAAAACCTATGCGTTTGCTAGTAAGCTTTTTTGAAAGTTGAAAACCTATGCATTTGGCAAGTAAGCTTCGAAGGTGAATTCCTGTGTATTTTGCATAGTAATATTGTTCGAAATCTTATGCGTTTGCTAGTAAGCTTTTTTGAAAATTGAAATCCTATGTACTCGCTAGTAAACTTTGAAAGTTGAAACCTGTGTATTTGGGTGTAGAGTTGTTTGAAATCGTATTCATTTGAAAGTAAAC